AACACCATTAAAACACACAAATTCCCAAGTGCTCTCATCTGTCATACGTGGGACTCACGGCGAGCAGCCAGCTCGATGTGACATGATTTGCATAAAAATCATAAACCGTCTGTTAAACCCTCACAGTTTAATGGAAGACCATAAAAATACCATTGGGCTGACCATACATAATGCCCAGGGAATTAAATCCCCCGTAAGCCTTGCCAGGTGAGCGCGCTAGAGGAACTGGCCCCATGTCCCGGGCTCCGCATTGGTTAACGTCGCTCAGCCCTTCAAGATGAGTTTGGCACTTCGTCCCCACTGGCCCTACTCGCAGGGAGCCGGGAGCAGAGCACGGAGCTGCAGCAGCCCTGGGGCTCCGTGCACACGGGTGCACGAGGCTGCTCTTTAATGATAGCAGCTGAACTGCAGCTCTGCACATCCAGCGCCCGCGGAGGGACCAGCAGAGCGAACGCTGCGGGGCTGCCAAAGCCACGTGACTAATTATGAGCCTTTTAAGTTTTCTAATAACTTTTCCCATTTAATAACAATGGCTCACGTACATTATAATCATTTCTCACTCAAACGCATTATGGCTTTTTTTTTTTTTTTTTTTTTAACTAAGCTCTTCAAGCCAGGCTTTTGTTAAGCTTCAGCTGAAACATAATTTAGAAAGAATCTTGCAACTTAATCAATTTTCCGAATCTGCACTGTCAAATCTATTGGAAAAAAAAAACCTCACATGAAGCAATCATGAAGCATTTTGCTGCCCAAAGCAGGGGCCGCGCTGGCTGTTTCCAGAGCCTCAGAGACGAGCTCAGTGAGTGTCTCACTTAACTGAGCAAGCAATAAACCTGCAGTAATTGCACCGTCCCATGTGCTTCCATTCAGCTATTGATAAGAACGTTATCACACTCAGGGGACATTGATTCATTATGCTATGGAGGAGATACGAAAAAATTCTTGATGGAAGCTCTTAATATGAATTCCCTCCATGTCACGTGTATTAAAGGCATTTCAATCCATCAGGAACTAATCACATTTCATTTTCTGTTGTATTTTTTCTTGTGGTCAACACATAGCAGCACAGCTGAGGTGTGTGATAATCAAAGTCTTCATGGCTGGATAAATTTAATACTCTTGCTTCATCAGCGTAGCATATTAAGAAGTCCCYTGACATATTTAGCTTGATTGTTGAAGGCATTACCCTACAGCCAGGGTATCACAGATCTCACGTGTAGTATGGGGGGCCTTTGCTTTCATTTATYTGTAACATGACACTGAGGATTGGATTGAAATAAGTTTCTTTGGAGAAAAAAAAACACAATTGATAAAGTCATAATGCGATCTCCACAACATAAGTGGAGAAATAAATGAATATTAATTGGGTAATTGCAGTGGCAGCTAGCACAAATAATACAAGTATTTTGAGCCGTAAATAATTCAACAATGTAATATGAAATAGATATTTGTTTTCTAAACAAATAAGTTCCAGTGCATTTAAAGTGTTAACTTGTTTTGGGGAGGCCTAATTTAATGTGTTTTTAAAACTCCGTGATCTGCTGCTATAATTCCATGGGCCATTCCAGCTTTAATCACACCTTTCTCTTCATTTTTTTTTTAAGTCAGCAAATATTTCTGCACACTTGACATGGAAGAACCAAAAAAGGGAGTCTGGTTGGAAACCTCCCAAGCAGGGCACAGCAAAGACTCGCTCCTGTACCCGAGGCCGCGTAAGACCATGTCCTTGTGCACGGCCACGCTCAGAAGGGTCTCCAGGCCCTAGCAGTGGGATCAGCCAGAGGCACCACAAGGAAAGGAGCTGCAGAGGATTCCAGCATTGCAAAAGGCTGGACATGAGCTAAGGAGGATGAATCTGGATCTCTGGAATGAGGGAGCAGGAACATGGAGCCTGCCATTCCTAAGGGTTGGCTGAGCACTGAGGTGAAGTAGAGCAAGTTACGTTGAGTATTTAACCAAAAATTTAGTTTTGCTTGCGGTCTATTCCTTGTTTTGTTAGGCAGATTAGAAAGAAAGTGTTTATTTCACCAGTAGAAGGCGTCACTATTTGAAAAATTCAAGCCAATTTCTGAAGTTGTCCTTTGACAATCTWAAAATAATTTTTTAAGGCTCTTAAATTGGATTTGTGGTTCCTTTCCCACCTTGCCAGSTAATGGGAACACTGCAGTGAGACTAATTGAGTAGTCATGTGAAGGAGGCTTGGAATACTGACCGGAGCAGAATCTTACAAAGGTATTAATAAGAAATAAGATAAGCTTAATATGAGACCAAAGGTGAAGCGAAACATTTCCTCAGAGCTTGACACAGCTCTTCTCAGAATCCTCTTGAACTCTCCTCTTGCAAATCAGGGAATTTAGGCAAAGAGAAAAGTGAATTCAGCCATCAGGATTCAGCCAGGATAAGGACTCAGCATGCTGAAGATATACTGTGGAAACAGATGGGGCTTTTGTAAACACTGGYGTGATCTTGGCTCTCTCCAGTAAAAATACCATAGAGACAACTCTTTAAGGAAAAAAGATATCTTCAAAACCCCATCCTACCTCACCATTGGGATATAATCACCTCCAGAGGCAGAAGTCTTTCAAAAAGCTACTTCTTGTGATGCAACATCATCTTCAGAAATGTTACATTGCTCTAAGACATCCCAAAGACATCGTGCTTCACCGGCTTGAGCAGACCATGAGAAAGCCTCTTCTGCTCAGCATATTTCAGCGTTTGCATCACCAAGGCTCTTATGACCCTAGTGCAATTTCAGGTGAAAAGGGACAAAGAAGAAGAAGAAAAAAATAATTTCTTTTTCATAAACCATGAGTGACAGCCCTGAGAGTTGGGCGTTGAGGGAAGAAGATAAAGGTCCCATTCGCCATCAGCCTCTTTCAAGGCAGGTGGCAAGAATGTGGGAAGGTGCTTCCCATGTGGAGCCACGTGGRAATAAAGCCCAGGGAACACCCTGTTCTGCAGCACTGAACTGATTCCCATCAAAGTTAATGTACGTCTCTGTTCCCATCCAAGCCAGGATCCCTGTGCTCCCAGGGTCTCACGGAGAAGGACCTGTCCAAGAAGGACCTGTCCAACAAAATGATCATGGAGGCAGAGGATGGGGAAGAAGTAGTTGAGCTTTTCGTGAGGGACTCAAGGTCACAGCAGAAGCCTGTGGTTGCAGAGGATGCAGAGCTCCTCAATGTGCGTAAATACCCACATTCCTATTTAGCCTCAGACAGCCAATTTAGCCAAGTTGGCTGTTAGACAGCTTGAGCAACGTTAGGCAGAAAAATGTCAGGCATTTGGTCCCTGCTGGGCACACTTACATCTAAATTAGAAAACATTAAAGTAAAAACATGTTGATTTTCTTGTTAAGGGCTTCTGCATTAGATTCCAGAACACAATTGGGGTAAAAAGCCTTCAACAACATTGAAGACAAAATCTGTGAGCCTAAAGCAAATGCACTCGTCCATAATAAATTAAAATGAAATCTCTGTGTTAAAGGCCAGGTTGCAACTTATGAAATTCAATTAAAGTTAAAAGATCTATTTTGCAGGTCTTGCTAACAGCGCACATGCTAATGACCCTGCCTCCGTAACTTCGAGCTTGCTTTGGGACCTACTGAAGGGTGCAGATTTTCCTGTCATTAATAGATGAACCCCCATGCAGGCCCTTCCCAGCCTCGCCCGTAACGCAGGCGTGGGGAGCTGGGAGCGAGCTTGGGGGCCGCACGGAAGGCAGGGCCTGGTGCCTGAATCCCTGGAAAGCCGGTAGTGTGGACAGAGAAGGGAAGCGCAGCCAGTGCATCGCTGTGGGACTGCAGAAGCCAGGAGAGCTCGTYAGTGCTGGCGCTGCCGCAGGCTCCGCGAGAGCGAGTGGCACCYGTGCTGCAGGGCCGCGCGATGCGGGCGCTCTGCGTGCAGCCGAGCGCACCCGCCACGTCAGCTCTGCGCTCTGGGCATCCCCATCCTCTCCTGGGCTCATCCCGCCAGCACTCGCTCTGGAGTCTGCTCGAGAAGCACCAGGCGGATCCGCAGCTCGGAGCCCCACGACTGGCTCCTTGCCCGGCCCTTGGCCTCCCTGCGCAGGCSGTGGCAGAGGCAGCACCTCTCCTGGGACGTCCCCCCGAAGCGGCTGTTTGTGCCAGCCCTGCCTACACGCTTGTGCTGTTATGCTTGAAAATACCTTGGCAGCTTGTTCGCGTAAGGCTCGATAGGAGCCCCAGGGGAAAGGAAAGGTGCTGTGCCTGCTCTGGGAGCCACTGCTGATTTATGAGCTGCTTCAGGCAGCCCCTGTGCGCGCACCATGAGCGCTCTGCCCTTCGCATCCTGACATGCACATGCTCGAGTGGAGAAAAATCTGGGCAGGTGAAGAGGAGCACGGCAGCAACGAGCGGAGCTGCTCTGTGCACGAGTGACGACGGACGCGTCCCAGCCTGAGGGATGAGAGAAACTCTTCCCCGGCACTGTGAAACTTCATAGCATTCCCCGGCCAGTGGTGGCCAGAGGCTCTCAGGACAAATTAGCTGCAAATACCACAGGGAGGGGATGATTAACCAGCGATGTGCTGTGCTTTCGAGGAAGGGCTTATACCTGTGTTTAGGAAGAAATGTATTAAGTAGGTCTTGCTCCTGAAGCTACAGACAAAGAGATTTGCAGGGATTTTCCCTGCTGATACCAATATCTCTGAGAAAGGTTTCGTCCCGCTGATGGCGCGATAGGAGTGGGAGGGCAGGAATGGCAGCGCCGCTCGGCCGCTCTCCTTGAGCTCCCCAGAGCACTTGTGGCTCCCCCAGCACAGCCCGGGCACGACACGTCCCACAGCCTGACACTGCTGCACGTGCTTGCAAGGAAACATCCGCTACTGAGACAGTGCATTAAGCAGCTCTCAGCAAGAGGCAAGTGAGTGTGCTTCAGTTAAGGATGACACAAACCTTTGCCTTCAAGTAAAAAGGGCTATTAACTAGAAGAGATATTTATTGTTAGTATGAAGGCTATTACTATGTCATTAGTAATAATAACACACAGATAATGAATTGCACTGTTCTACTAATGACTTGGGGGTGTGGAACCATCCTTCCTAACTTGTATTCTTCCAGAGACCATACACCAGGCAATTAATACTGTCATTGCATACCAAGGATCCTAACCCCACTATGATCAGAGCACTTGAATAATTTGCCTTTCAGCTATACTGAGAGCAAAACCAGGCTACGACTGAGACCAGATTCCCAAGTTGCAGTTACAATGATCAACACTGAATGGTAAGTGGAGGGKCCCAGTGATTGGGGTTGGGAAGGTTAGGGTCTGGAAGCTGCACCTCTGCTTTTTCTTTGGCTCTAGATCAGACTCCCTTGTTAAGTGCTTCATTGTTATCCTCTGCATGGTGAGCAGCAGGGCAAGAAACTCTGCAAAATATTGCAACTGCAGCACCCTCAGCGCTGTGCCAGGATTCATCCCGAATGTGGGAATGGCCACGTCCCAGCTAGCGCCAGATCCTTCACGTGTATCCTGGTGAGTGCATGCTGTGAGTGAGTGCTCTCTTTACTGGGAGTTCTGCTTGGAAATGGAGCTGGTCCTGAAGGGCTTGGACACCTGCCGTAATTAGCTGATACAAAATCAGTGAGGTGGCACCCAGACTGTGGGGAGAGAGCAAGGAGGCACCTTTCCTGACCATTAGCTCYCCAGTGGAGGCAGCAGGGCCGGTCCCTGCCCATAAAGCCCCAARGGGCCGATGGGCGCAGGGTGTCTGTGGGTGAGGATACAGCCCAGGGAGCCACAGCGATGGGGAGGCAGCACCAAGGACCTCATTCCCCGTGAATGTCCCCACTGGAGCGCTCTGGGGACCTCGTGTTCCCTGTGAGTGCGGTGCTGTGAGCGCGGTCTCTGGCCATGTCCTCAGCAGCAGCACAGGCACCCACGAGGGTGCAGGGACATGCAGGGAGCAGTGACGTTGCTGCGCAGTGCAGCACCCCCAGGAACCTGCTCCACAGGCCCCTCGCACTGCCGAGCCTGCTGGCACTGCCCTGCCGGAGCGAGCTGCCCCCGGAGCTGCCCGCATCCCTCTCGGGTGTCACAGCGCTCAACAGGCACCACAGGTCCCTCAAGACCCTTCTTCCCAGGTCCATCTAAAGGGATGATGCTGGGTCCCAAATCTCCACTCATGTCATTGGGCTTAATCCTCTGCAGGCGACTCAGGAGCAGAGCAAGCACAGCATGTATGCAGAGCCCTGTATGCATGCACATACTTTATTTTTATTGCACTTTTTTGAATAACTTAAATTCCAGATCTCTATAGAATACTTCGTTCCCATTCACCAAAGTACTTTCTTGCCTTTACTTTAGGAATTCCTGTTCCCTGCTCAGGCACTGACTCCCAGGTCCTCAGTGCTCCTTCCATTGCCAGCGTTCACCATTGCTCTTTGCTGCAGTTTTAGGTAAGGGTGGCTTTGGAAGGAGGTGCTTTTAGGAACTCTTATGCTGGTGATTTTGCTTTTACTGTTTGCAAGAACACTTCACAGACACGAACAGTACATTAGCCAAACGCCGTTTTTATCACCATTTCCCTAGGCGCCCTTGGCTCCCAGGGCAGCTGTGCCCGTGTTTGCTCCCAAGGGACCTTGCCTTGCTGGGCTTTGTGTGCTTTTTTAAGAGCAGCCACATATGGTGCCTGATCACAGGCATGAACTGAGCCAAGAGCGTGCCGCTTTGCAGGATAGCTCGCCCAAGTTTGGGGCTTTATGTGCCATTCGTTTCATGGAGACCTCACTSGCCACACTAGGAGCTGTGCATGCAAACGACAGCAAGACATCAACTTTGTCGAGGGTGACTGCAAGCTGCAACTGCCCAGGTAGAAGCACAAGCAGCCGAGCTGGAATCTCCCTTAAAGAACATCCAGGTCTGCCAAGTCTGGCCGGGGGATCCCGTTAGCCTGTGACGAAGCCCCGTGGCTGGAGCATCCTTCTTACTTGTAGCAATATTTGTGTCTTTGAGCATGCAAAGGAAATGTGTTTTTATTGCTGGAAAGGGTCCTCGGAGGCTGTGTCCTCCTGCCTGAGGKGGGAAGAAATCCTGTTTTCAATTACAGCTTATTTATGTTAATAGTGGGGCTGGCGTTTTTTAAAGCAGCGCTTCCTCCTAGCTATAGGCTGGGATTTGCAAASAAGGGTGTCTCAAGCTGGGTTCCTCAAATCTGTATTTATCATATACTGTCTTAGCTTTTCAAAGCAAATTAGATAGCTACAACAGTGCTCTTTTCTGGTGTTTCAAACACAGAAAACAGTGTTTGTGCACTAAGCCTAACAGGTGTTTCCGGGGAACCTTTATAAATACCATTTTTGTTCTTCAATGCATTAAATGGAAAATGAGGAGCTGGTGAATACTAACAAGGAAACCCAARCCAAACCAGCTAAAACCCTGTCTTGGAAAGTCTCTCACACCCACATGGGTTTCGGCCGGGCATGGCCAACGCAGGTCAGAGCCCGAATGTGTCCCTGTTGGTGTGCCAGGTGTCCCGGAGGCTGCGCGGGAGCCCCGGCTGGCTGCACATCCCGACCACCGCACTCCCTGCTGCGGGGAAGCGCCAAAGGCAAAACTTCACCTTTCGTTTGGAGTCACGATTTTTAAACCCATTTTTATGAACTTCCAGATGTGTCCTTTTGCCTGCTCTGGAAATGTATGTACTGTGGAACCTGAAATATCCCTCTGGCAAGCAGTGAGGTGAGAAATACTGCCATTTTATTCCCCTCAGTGGTTTTAGTTACAATATTTATCCACTCTTTGCAACTCGCAGTACATTATCCAGTGTCAGGAGATTTTTTCCGACTGCTGCTTCCCATGAAACCACGAACTGCAGAAATGCTGTTCCCTTGATCCCTCTGTCTGCTGCACGCAGGAGCCAGAGCTGCTCCAAACCCCTCTGCTCCGACCTCAGAGGCCAACGTGTCCCTTCTTAGGGCACCGCTGCACACAGAGAAAAGAAGAGACCATGTCACGCAAAACCTGAATATGCCACATGTTTTTATGAGCACAACTTRCACAAATATTAGTTGATCACGGAGAAACGTCTTGAATAAGCAAACACTGCGTTCTGGTCAATGTGCTGTGCAGCTGCACTCTGCAGCGGGGACAGCCTCGTCCTGCCGCAGACCCCAGCCCCTGCCTGGAAATGGATTCGTGCTCTGACATTTCCTCTTCTTGCTACAATTTTTGTCACTGAAATGAGCGATCGGGGGTTGTGTTGTCTCATTTTCCCATTGCCGTGCCATCCTCCACTGACCTTTTTAATATTCAGTATTTTGAATGGTTGACCATTGCTCTCCTCCTCTTCCCATTAAAAGCGGAATCTAACCCGATGCGAAGGACTGGGGTGAGCAGCCCATTGAAATGAAACATCCGAAAAGGTCAGATTAGTGCAACCCTCCATGTATTGCCCAGAATTTATTAGATATTGAGATTCATGCATCTCCTTCCCGTGACAAAGTCTGTTCCAGCAGCAAAAATAAAAATAGGTACAACATCAATCTAGTGTTATGCTAACAGCGGCGCTGGGAAAAATGCGGGGCTGTATAATTTATCCCATTGTTATTATGGTTTTTAGCTTCTGCTCCTCTTTGGATGGATTATTATAGAAATGTAGCAGAAAGCCTAATTTACATCTGATTCAGGGATCTATTTATGGTGCTGCTGAGACTTGTGGCATTTCTGAGTCTCCTCAGCTATTCTCTGTCTCTGGATAAAAAGGTAAAACTCATTCAAATAAGAGACATGCATTTTTCTGCTACTTCAGCAACTTCAGAAGCCTTTTCAATGAGGTGTCTGCAGCGACATTGCACTGTTGATGGGCACCTGCTTCGTCCCGGCATAAACAGCGGGTTTAAGCCCAGTTTAGTATATTTGGCCTGGCCGATGTGCCAGGAAATTTGGAAATCGTATGTAACTCTTTTTCCCTCTGAGCAAACACTTGTCTTATTCTCTCTTTTCAGTTTTGCCTGCTTTGCATTTTCCGTTATTGCCTGGCGTCCCAGCACTATTGCCATTAATACACGAAACTCGCCGCAGCAACAGATCATGCATTGGAATGTGTGCCAGGGTACTTGCCATTAGCTTTTGACTTGTAATTTACTTCTAAATCATTAAGGACTTCTATTAACTAGAATATATCGCATTATTTTCCCCAGATCTGTTTGAAAAACACCAGTAGAATTGGCTATGTCTTTTACTTTTCTAAGGGACCACTTAAGATGCTAATGATAGCACTGGCTCTTTACTGTGTCCTCTAAGAGTGATTCCAGGCCAAGACAAGTCAAGGTTGAAGCTCTGGAGTAATAGATGGCTGGAAATCAAAACACAATGAATAAATACTATTTTCACCTATTTTTTTCCAGTTTATCAGCAGTATTACCTGCCAGGTTGGCTTCCACTTTAATTCTTTTTTTGTCTTCACAGAACCACAGTGCCTTTCCTTGGCCTTTGGAGATTAGGCACTAAAGCTAAAATTGGTTTAATGACATTTTTTTCAGTCTCTTAAAAAGGAATAACAGCCAGAGTCTTTTTGGACTCCTTCTTTGGGGGAAGAGGAAAAAATTATTCTCAGATATGAGTTTCTTTGGATATAGTAACATACGTATCCTCCTGTGAAAGTTACCCTTAGAAGTGAGGGAGCAGTTTGCCCTGCAAAGATAAATCTCCYCCCAACGGGGTGAGAGGACTCCAGCCGCATCCACCCCTTGCCTGCCTGCTGCTCCATCCCGCTCGGCGCACATGGAAGTGTCCAGGGGATCCTCCTGGAACAGCTCACTGGGCTCCTCACTGCCTGCTTTATTTTTTCCATGCTCAGCTGAGAATGATCAGGAAGAAAAATGAAAAAAAAAACAGCTACCATTGCAATTCAGCTCTAGCAATTAAACACTTGCAAAACAACAGTATTAATTTAGAGCTGCTGTTTAAGGTTAAAATTAAATTAAACACAACAATAAGTTGGAAATAAAATTTTAAAATGCTATTGACAAGCTGCAAGTTCTCTAATGCCAAACGCAAATTATGGTCACAACCTCTTTCTCTTTCTATTAATCCAAGACTACACTTAAAGTGCACTGCTGGTAAGCACAGAGCTGGTGGTCTCCCCACCCTCCTCTTTCTCCCAGCTAGTGGGAAGGGACTTCGACGTGCACCTTTCCCCAGCTCTTGGTGTTTCTGGCACAGAAACACATTTTTGGTTGGACACAGAGATACCTTTCCAGGCAGTAGACTAATGGAGYTGTGCTGGTGTTGGATCCGCACGCTAGCAGTGCTCTCCGAAGCCGGGACGTGCAGGCCCTGCACATGTCAAAAATCACATCCCCGGTCTGCCCTGTGGCGGCAAGGGGTGGACAGAGGATGCTCGGCATTTTTAGAAGAGTATTCCCAGCTAACAGGCAGCTCAAGTAAGTTTTTCGTTCTCAGCCACAGGACGAGGCTGCATGTCTTCACTGCGTATCTGAGCTGCACGTCCTCGCCGCACATCCGCGCTGCATSTTCTCATGCACGTCCTCATTGCATATCCTTGCTGCACGTTCATGCTGCGTGTCCTCGCTGCTGGTCCACCGTGCATTTGCTACACTGCACACCTGAGCAAAAGCATCACGCAGTGCTGGGAACAAAGATTCCTTTCTATGAGTAAAAAAGAGACTTATGGAGAGAATCACCCAAATCTGGCAGTCCCTAGCAACAGCTCTCAGTGCATGAGAAGCAAGCGGGACCCGACGGATGTGGCTGCTCCTCAGCAAGGAGCTGCTGTTGTCCGTGTCTTGGCATGGAGTGGGACAAGCATGCTGATGATTAAAGGAAAACCCTTACCTGTCAAACCAAAATTCTTTGCACCTTCAATTTGATTTTTTTTAAAAAAATGTGACTGTGGAACCAAATGCTCTGTTAAGGAGCAGCTTTCCAGGGAACCGCCCAGGATGGTGCCGCGCTCCAGCCAGCAGCCTCTCTGCTGGGAGAGCGACGCGCTGCCGCTCGCACCGCGTGCTGCGCCGCCTCCGCGCCCTCGGCCTGCCCGCGGCACAGTCACGGCCYGCGGGAGAGGGATGTGAGCATGGGATAACCCCCCTGCGCCTCAGCACGGAGCCCCGCGGTCCCCAGCCCCATCCCGGCGGCGCGGCTCAGCTTGCTGGGTGTTCTGTTCATCGCAGTTAGGCTTTCTGACCTCCTTCCTGTACATATGACACTCTGACACTTTCTGTTTGCTTCCTCTTTATTTAAATATTTATTTTTTTGCTTTTTGTGCAGCGCTGCTCCCTTCAGCAGAGAACCCAGGGCAGCCAGCACTTTCCTCGACCTGGCCAGGAGGAGCTTCTCCAGCAGGTGAAGGATCGTGGCTCAGCCAGGAGAAAGGCTATATGTACATTTTATTTTGTTACTTGATAGAATTAGTTGTTCCTCGCTTACTGCCGCAGTATGAACTGTGTTTTGTGTGCAGTGTTTTCKAAAGAGTCCTTTTTTCATGAGATTAGTAAATTTAATTTGAAATTTGGTATTCACGAGGAGCGTGCCGGCTGAAGGCAAGCCGTAGAACCGATGACAAAGGTTATTACATTTTTTAAATTATATTTTAAAGACGTTTAATAACTGTGGAGAAAAGACTTTTATGAAAATGTAAATTGGCAGATTAAAGAGCGAGTCACACAAAGTTATTTAAAAAATACCTGAAGTTCTTTTTCCTCTCAGCTCTTAAAGGGCCAAGGTCTTGCTCTTTGGCCAAGACACTTTTGTGGGCCAGGATATAGCTGAGAGGAGATTTATAGTCTAAAATTGATTCTAGGCACAGGTACGAARTGCACAAGGTTCCTGATGGTCTCAAGCACCTCACATCTCAAAGGCGGTTTGCAAATATTTCTGCTAATCACCAGCTCTGCCGGCGGTGGGGGTTCAAAACAGCAGTGCAAAAGGGCTGGGACCTGCCCCTCCACCGTGCACAGGTCCAGCACATGGGACAGTTCTGTGCCCCTGGCCTCGCCACGGGTGGTAGGAGCAGCTAAAAGTGCCCAGGAACAGATGATGCTACAAGGGACACTCATTGGCTTTCACCTTATTTTCAAAGCTTTTCCCTGTTCTATTGGAGAAAAAATGATAAGAGGGAATAAACCTTGTTATGTTGGATAGGGAGGTAGCTGAAGAAGTCCCATTGCTGGTGCCTGTGGGTCCCTAAGCCACCTCTCTGTGCTCCCCAAGCTAAATCCCACGTTGGGGGACATCTCTTGTCCTTGTGAAGGAAAATATCTGCCCAATGGGAAAGTCAAGCTCATCTGCACCTAAAAGAATGACACAACCTTGTACATCCTACGTGTCCTTCTCAGTTTTATGAACTGTGCTGTGGAATTTGCATATATTTCCGTCCTCTTGGTGGGCCACGTTAAGCTTAGASTCTAGTTCCCACCTGCAGCATTATCTAAGCCAAATACCAAGCCAAATCAAGTGATTTAGGCAATTAACAACCTTTTGTTTCCAATTGTTTGTGGGAGTAAGATCTTTCCTTTAAGTGATATTAGAAAACATCTTATTCTTCTGTGTGCAGCAAACTTATAGAAAGGTCAGGTGGAGATTTTGCAGTGAACCTCGGCCCTTCCCACCACTGCTGAACCAGGCCTTTCTTTCCCATGCTCTGCAACACCAGGCTCTCAACAGGGCCAGATCGCCCCCATTGCACCAATATTTCAAGTGCCTTAGCTGGAGGACTCTGAGAACTTGGCATCAAATTTGGGCAGTGTGTGCAATGCTGCTGCGCAATTAAATTCACAAAGAGATAAAAAATATAAAAATGTATTTGATGCTGATCAGCACTGCTTTACAGGTTAGACAGCCCTGATTACGTTATTTGATATTCTGCGTCTGGCTGAGAAAAGAAGCTGCAGAACTGGAGCCTGCTTCATTTTATTATGAAATTGCTTTGGATGAGGAACTTTATAAATGAGATCTGCAAAAATCATTTTCAGCAGTGAATCTCAATGAGCGAGGGCAAGATTATTACCAAGGTTCCCTGGTGACCTGTCCGAGGCTTGCTATTATTCAAAGCTTTCATTAGCAGCTTGGGAATGGGAATGGGCGCTGGAAGGAGCGTGGTGCGAGCGATGGGAGCGGGCGGCGCAGCCCGGGTGACCCGCTGGGCTACAGCTGGCCAAGTACAGAGCAGAGGTGCCCACGTCGTGTTCCAGCCCGGGCTCAGGCAGGCCGGGAGGGACCGCGAGCCCCTGCGGCGTGCGCCAAGGAGGGGACCATGCCCGAGCTGGGGAGCGCCCGATTCAGCTGCAGCTCCAAGGCCTTAGTGCTCTGCTTAGCGAGGAGACCCCCTTAGCGCATCTCGGCGCTCTCAAGGGAGTATATGGAATATTAGCAGGGTGCAAATTTGGAATATCCTGGACAGGATACCGCCRGGTGGGCAGGGAGAGGCAAGTGGAACCTCTGTCTGGTTACAGGGCGTCATGCGAACGCAGAGCCGGCGGCCGGCAGCACCTCCCTGGGGACAACCTCTGCATCCACTGTCCCAACGTCCCCAGGGCACGCGCAGGAGACACCAGCACGGGGAGCAGGCAGGCACCCCGCTCTGCCGGGAACCACGTGCTCCTCAAAATGGACAGCCCRACCCAGGAAGGCCTCACTGCTTTTTCTTAAGGGTCATTCCCTCCTCCCTGAGGATGGGCAGCTATTCTCATGGAACATCAGCTTTATGGGCAGCTTCAGTTACCATCCCTCTTCTTTGCCCTTTTCTTTGATGGAAGAGTTGTGCTGTTTGCTCTTAGCGATAAAAGTGTTTTTCCCTTCAGTCTCAGAAGACGCAATTATTGAAGCTTTGCAGTAAACAGAAGCAAACAAAAACCAGCCAGTTGCCCGCAGGCAGATCCAGCGCAGGGAGTTTCAGCCCAGAAGGGGCAAGTTCTGCCAGGCCAGGAAGACACGGAGTGCCCCGCGTGACCTGCCCTTGCATCGCGGCTGATGTTCACATCCTCTCGCCATCAGTCCCCCCGGGCGCAGGAGACGTGTTTCTCTGTCCTCAGGTCCACAGAAGATCAGGCAGGGTTTCTCATGCCCAGTGCTACAAAAGCACCACTTGCAACCCGTTTCCTTTGTGCTTTGTGTTAGCAGCCCAGAACTGTGCACGTCTGTTTTCCTTGACAACAGCTGGTGCTTGGTGCCTGTCACTGCCTTGCTTTTTGCATTAGCCAAGCATGGGTAGACGCTGCAGAGATAGAGAAGTATTATCTCTTCTTAGAGTATACTTGGAACACCTTCAAAAGTTAAAGTAAAAAAATACAACCTTGGATTCAAATTTGAATTTATTCATTTCATTTTTATATGAATATTTTTATCTCACGCATTATAAAAATTCTTACACATATCTCCTTTCCAGTACCCTGAAACTTCTGTGCATCCTGATCAGGAGTTTGGACTTGCTTTATCTTTAAACTCTATTTTATTTTAAAGAAATAGTCTTAAATATCTTGCCAATTTGTTGAAAATGATGCCAATTAAGTTTTTGTATGACAGAAATGGTAAAAAAGTAATGTTGGAATGCTGCCTTTTCCTTAAATGTGCTATGAGCTAACCAGAAGAAAAATGCAATGTTGTATGTACCTTTGGTCTGCCTTCCGATACAGGTTTTGTGAGGTCCCAAGTGCTTTGTGGGGACAGGCTATTTCCATCAGTCCTCTTTCAGATTCCTTCTGCTTCCTGACTTCCCGCCGGCTCAGAACATGCAGATACGTGTGACACACAGGAGGCTTCCAAAGCAGTCCAAAGCCTGCAGATCTCCTGTGCTCCGCAGGGACCTTGGCTTGGGCTTCACCYGGGTGTCCTGCAGCACATGGTCATTTGGGGCTCCTTGTGCGCAGCATCCGGGCGCGCAGAGCTGGTACYTCCCATACCTGCACTGTCCTCATCACCCCCTGCCGCTCTCAGCTTGTGCTGATGAGCAGGAGGAGGCTGCGGTCACAGCCTGGCCACGCATGTCTGTGCTGTGCTCCTTGAGTGGTAAATTATGGGAAAGCAAATAGCCGAGGTGTCTGGGCTTGGGGGTGCAGCTGGGGTCTCCGTTAGCAGAGCAGTGCCGGCCGCAGGACTCGTCTGTGCACACTGCTACCAGCCTGCAGCCTTCCCTGCCTTTGCAGAAGGGCTGCTGGCCGGCGTGAGCCACCACCGCAGAAGCCTCGGGAAGTGTGTAATTAAATTCTCATTCGTGGCTGGGCTCCAGCTCCTCTCATTTACCATCGCCCCAGTGTCCGGCACCGGCTCTGCGCTTCGGACACCCACCTTCTGCTCGTCACCTGCCGCTGCCAGAGCTGCTGCCAGCGCTGCCGCCTGCCCAGCGGGCCCTTCCTGGCGCACGTGGGCAGCCCCTGTCCCCGCGTTTGCTTGAAGTCGCAGGGGAGCGTTTGGTTCTYCTGGAGCGCCCTGCGTGCCTCTGCTGCCAAGTCGTCCTTCAAGATCAAACTCTTCTCCTGGAGGGAGGCTGAGGCTGCCAACCCCACTACAGCAGTGGGGTAGTCCCTCCAGCTTTCCCTGGCCACCACCAGTGGGGACGGTGGGAGACCCTGTCCCAGCCCCGGAGACAAGAGTGCGACGGGGCATCCTGGGAAGCACGGGGCATTTCCTCGCTCACACGCATTCGTGCGTGCAGGTGCCGGTCCAGGGAAGGCTAACCCAGCCCGATAGGAATGCAGGTTTGAGGTGGACTTGCCAGTTCCAACTTGACTGTTCAGCCAAAAACACCTGGCCGCAACCCTGGAAGCCCCAAATGTCGCTAGCACAAGACATAAAGCTATGGGCCGTTTCATGCATGTCCTGCATGCTGCAGAACCCRAGCTTCTCAAGTCTAGGCAACCTTGGCTTTAATAACCTAAGAAGCATCCAATTCTTTCAGTGTCATGCTCTTCTCATAAATCAGTTCTGTATCTCTTAGATTCCTTTAGATGCCTGGAGACATCTGTTTTTCATCCCATTTTGCTGGCCTACCCTATTATTTCTGTAACCCTGGGTCCAAAGTATACTCTTCAGTGTTAAGATGTGAACACACAGTGTATGCCATGAAATATTAAATGAAAAATATTAAGGCAATTTTAGCAGTCTAGAAGGTCTCATATGTCATGAAGTTGCAGCATCAGAGCTGTTCCTTGGAGTGAGACTCACAGCATCTCATCTCYGCTCCCACTGAGCGGTCCGAGGCTGTGAGTCAGCCCTTCCTGGCAATTACTGCAAGGGCTTGTGTTCCTGTAAGACACGCCGATCTGCACAGAAATACACATGCTCTAATGCTGAAATACATTTGGAAACTATTATTATTGTTCCACCAAACAATAGATCCCTCGAGAAGCAAGAGAACATTTTCTATTTACACATCTGTACAAACTGCTGCTTGGAGAAGGAAAGGCTGATTTGCTTGATACACAGGAGAATTGTTTAGTGTTCTCACTAACC